CTTCGCATAGGTGGAGAAATATTTGTGGAGCTTCTTTCCATGTATGGTTTTTTCAATATCAAATCATCTATTTTCATTGAATTTTCTTTAGCCCTAATAAATGTAGTAAATAAGGTGAAATAACCTCAAGAAACTATCCCTAGTGGTGAGGGAATAGGAAAAAAGAATAATGAAATAAAATTAATTTATTCTACATACCATTCCGTCATCTCTTTTATTTCGATGAAAGGTGTATTTATGAAGAAAGTAGTACAGACTTTTTTGAACAATTTCAAACCTATATACATGTGCAAACTATCACATATATATGCCGTACTATATGCTGATATGATGTAATGTAAAACATACCAGCAACTAAACACATAACACATACCAAAGAAAGACGTAACTCTGAGACGTGTTGCAAAGATGACTGATTTTTTCTCAATATTCTCTGCTATTACTACACATTCTCTATCAACAAAGGGATCCCAAAGTATAAGCATCATTGTTTTGAAATTTTTCTCCAGGAGCAATACATCCTGTACCCATATTTGGTTGCCGTATTTTGATTAAATCATTCGTTTAGGCGTCATATCAATTGCAACCGCAAGTATATCTGAAAGTATAAATTTTAAAATGTCTCTCTGCTTATTTTTCTAAAAATATAATAACTAATAAATAATTGAATAATTCAAGATAACATGATGAATAACAAAAAATATGTATTTCTTACTTATATCAGCATCTATATCCATATACTCTTCTGCTTCATGAAAAGCTGTCAGCTGATATGTTGAAAAATAAATTCCCGATTATCTTCATTTAGTTCAACAAGACGAGTTTGTCCAGATATAATCCAGTGATAAGATCCTATTGAATATTTGTAGTTTCCCGTATTATTCTTCACATAAGCTTTTGAAATGACACATGTTTTCCCCAAAACAAGTTGATCCTCAAAAGCACTGATATTAGAATCATATAAGGTAGTTTGGATAGTATTTCCCTGAAAAATGAAAATGAAAAATGATGAGAAATTTCTTAGTTATTTGATTATATATGAATGAGAAGTCTTAATAGTTTTAGTTTTGAAGTTGAAGCCAACTTTTATAACTAACAACAAGAAGAGTTACCTGAGTACCCATCAACACCAGATGTTGATATCTTTCATTGCCCTGTTTAGAAGGTTTTGGTGATTATTTTTCAATAACAATGACCTTGGCTTTCCACTTCTCGTTTTTTGAGACAATTTCTGGGATGAGTTTGTAATCTTCTTCCATTTTATCTAATCTAAAATAAATAATATGTCAAATGCAGTCAGAGTATAGCAGAAGATTTATGAGGATGGTAATCTTAGAAGGGAAATGAAATGGTTTAAATAGATATAGTATAATTTGTCAATTTTTTTTTAAAAAAAAGAGATAAAATCGGTGAAGTATGGCTAGGTAAATCAGTTGATTGATTAACTTGAAATTTTTTTATCAAGTATATAAAAGTACATTATAGAGTATAATGTATGGAAATGGATTAGTCTGTGTGTGATGAAATGTGTAAGTATATAAATACAAAGTAATGGATTAGTTTCGTACGGTATGGGATAGAAAAAAGATATGTATATCAGTATGGAGAAGGTAGTATGGTGAAGGTATGACAAGCAACTCACGACAGTAAACAATTAATAATAATTAATTATTTAGTAAAAAATAATTTGAATAAAAAAAGGAAAAAAATTTCCAAAAGAAAAGGGAAAAAAATTTGCTCTACAAGAGTATGGAGGAGTTGCCAAAATTGCTCTGCACTATTTGGAGCACTAAAAAGGAAAAAAAATCACTCTTGTGCAAGAGAAATGAAATGGTTTAAAGTTAAAAAATAAATAAATAATATCGGTGAAGTATGGTAAGTTATATAAGTACATTCTAGAGTATGACAAATTATATATAAGTACATTCTAGAGTATAATGTATTGGAATGAATTAGTCTGAAATTTATAAGTACATGGGAATGAGAATAGATTAATTTACCACGGGTGTATGCCAAAAAAAAAAGATTTGTAAAATTCAGAGAGATAGAGGTATGGCACATGACACAAACAATTAATAATAAATAATAATTTCAATAAAAAAGAAAACAAAAGAAAACACTCATATGCGGAGCCTTTGCTCCACACAGTGTGGAGTGGCTACGCACAGGCGTGCTTATGCTCCGCACAGTGCGGAGCAACTCCAATAAGTACTCCGCACTGTGCGGAGTATTTCCTTCCCTTTTTTTTTCCTTTTGTTTTGATTTAAATTTTTATTTACTAAATTATTAATTGTTTAATAATTGTTTTACTGATTAATCAAATAATTTGATTAATATATTAGCCAATTTTTTTTTTGTAATCTTAATTATAGCATAGTTGTCCGCACTTAACCAAATCATAGTAACGTTGCTCCGCACAGTGTGGAGCATTCTAACTAATACTCCGCACTGTGCGAAGCATTTGCGTGTTTTTTTTTTTTTTGGCAATTCAAGTTATTAATTATTAATTGTTTGCTTTGTCAGTAAACAAACAATCGATTGACATATTAGACCATATCAAACCAATTTAACAGTTTTATTATATAACTAAACTATTCTTTTGTTAATTACATAAAATTATACTTTTATTTCTTCTTAATCTCATTAATCATTTTTTTTATTTCAACACTTTACATCTTAGTAATAAAATTCATTTTTAACCAAATCTAGCAGCTATTCTTTTGTTAATTTCATAAAATTATATTTTTATTTCTTCTTAATCTCATTAATCATTTTTTTTATTTCAACACTTTACATCTTAGTAATAAAATTCATTTTTAACCAAATCTAGCAGTATTTAAAAAATAATCCCGGGAAGAGTGTTTTGTCTGAAGTACTTTATCCATTTCTTATTTTGTCTATTTCAATATTCCTACCAATGCTCCGCATAGTGTAGAGCAACTCCAACAAGTACTCTGCACTGTGCGGAGTATTTCTTTCCTTTTTTTTTCCTTTTGTTTTAATTTAAATTTTTATTTACTAAATTATTAATTATTAATTGTTTTACTGATTAATCAAATAATTTTATTAATATATTCAATTTTTTTTTACAGTCTTAATCATAACAAAGTTGTCTGCACTTAACCAAACCATAGTAAAGTTGCTCCGCACAGTGTGGAGCATTCTAGCTAATACTCCGCACTGTGCGAAGCATTTGCGTGTTGTTTTTTGGAAATTTAAATTATTAATTATTAATTGTATCAAACCAATTGGACAGATTTATTGTATAACTAAACTATTCTTTTGTTAATTACATAAAATTATACTTTTATTTCTTCTTAATCTTATTAGTCAATTTTTTTTTTTTTATATTTCAAGACTTTACATCTTAGTAATAAAATTCATTTCTAACCAAATCTAGAAGTATCTAAAAATAATCCCGAGAAGAGTGTTTTGTTTGAACTACTTTGTCCATTTCTTACTTTGTCTATTTCAATATTCCGACCCCATGAAGCTATTGTCAAATCTTTTCTCAAAAAAGGACAAGTATTGTTTAGTTTAAATAGCTTCTCATACCATTTCTTTATATTTAACCAATTTATATATCTTTATCTTTACATACCAAGCTTTCTTCGAAAAAATCAGGTTTAATATAGTGTTTCTTTCTTAATTCTTTTACTACAATTCTTTCAAAATAAATTCGTAGTTTTAAATGATATATAATTTTCAATCTTTAATTGTGTTAAAAATAATACATACTGCAGTTTATCAACACAAAAATGGATGTGCCACATAGCTTCTTCAAAATTATCGATGTTTCACTAAATCATAACATCTGTTTGGTAAGTTATATAAAATATAATATCTTCTTTCATTTCATATTTGTATGAATGTTTTATTTACTGCCTATATTTTTTTCATTTATTGTAGATGCTTCCTACATCTTTTGTCAATTGTTGGAGACAAGAATTAGGTGATAGGGTACGATTAACTTCGTATGATGGTATAATTGTAACAATACAATTACAAACAATCAATGGAGAAACATATTTGATTAATGGATGTGAGCAATTTTTTGACCATTACAACTTACAGGATGATTTTGTTTTAGTATTTGAATATAATGAAAATTCAACATTCAATATGAGGATGTTTGATCATTCTAGATCGGAGGTTACATACGGCTTTGATGTTGAAGAGGATGAGGCTTTACATCTGGATAATTCTGCATTTGAAGTAACACTAACGCTAAATCGAAACAACCATCGAGAAATTGTAGGCTATCTTTAATATATCATTCTATATTTACCGTTTTCACATTTTTTTAATCTTAACATCAGCATCCATATTTTTTTGAAGTCTATACCAGGAAGGTTTGTAAGACACCATCTACCAAGATATGTGCGGAATGTTCGGATTCATGATTCTTTACATCACAACTGGGATATCACTGCAAATTCAAGACCAAACGGTGTGATGCGTCGACTTACTGTAGGCTGGGCCAATTTTTTGACAGAGAAGCAACTACAAATTGGAGATATATGTGTATTTGAATTATTAAATCGTGAATCTCCAATGTTCATGGTTTACAAAAAAAACCACAACGATGGAACTCTAACTCGTCTATGAAATTTTGCACACCAATAATGTTTAATATTTATGTTTATCCATTTCACTTTTTCATTAATTATCTTAAACTATTGCATAAAGATTTTTATAAAAATTACACTTTTTCCTTTCTTTTCAATTAAAAAATACTACAATCTTTCTAACTAAAACATAATATTCTCTTATATGTTATATATTAATACATATATAGTTACATCAACACACATATATACATGGATTCAACTTCAAGAAGATGTTTAAAAGTAGAATGAACCTGTGTGTTTTGTAATAATATCACTTACCATAGGAATATATTTACAGAAGAATATAATTATGGAATGCTAAAATGATTAAGTTATTTTAACTTGTAGAAGTGGTTTCTAGAAATGGTTTCTTCATCTGTATCTAAACTTCTAAATATCAGCTTTCCCAATTGTATTCATATTAACCACCACGCAACATCTGACAGCTACACAGCCTAATATGAATAACAAATGATGATTAGTAAACAGAAAAAAGTAAGACAATTAAAAAAATTATGTGTGATTAATACTTATATTCAGAAAATACAAAACATGACGACTAATTAATATATTTCTGGAAAGAATAACTTCAGAAATCGTTTTTGCAATGATAAAATTTTGCAAAATTAATATTTCATCATGACAATCAGAAATCATAAGTCTAGATTTATTATTAATTTTGTGTTTGTAAAAACAAATATAATCAATAAAGAATTATAACAAACAATTAAGCATATACTTGAAGATTCTAATATTTACCGTGAACTAAATTCAAGATTTCATGATAAACAATATTTTTGGTACAACAAATATGTAATTTGTTTTTGACAAAAGGTTTGATCAGAACTTTTTATATTTTTTCTTGTTCTAGCTCGGGACAATGCAACATACAATTGGCCATGGGAAAATATAGGTTTTGGAAGATATAAGCCAACAAAATCTAGAGTTTGACCTTGAGATTTGTTAATAGTCATTGCAAAACATGGACGAATTGGATATTGAGTTCTTTCAAATGGTACAGATTGTTTATCGCCTTCAAGAGGAATGAATGGAATTCTAGGTAAAAATACTTGCTTTTCACAATATTCTCCTGTCCCAATTTCAGTCAAGATAACATTCTGCTTAAAATCACGACAAATAAATCTAGTCTCATTGCATAAACCTTCTGCAGGATTGATATTTCTGAGCAACATAACTGGACCATTTTTTTTCAATATGAGCTCATGTGGAGGTATACCGTCTAGAGCTAGACTATTCAAAAAATCTTCATCAATAAAACCTTCATTTTTATCAATCACTTCATCAAAACTAATAAATGTAACTTTCTCTCCCGAAATTTCTTTAAGCAACATATTGTTTATTAAATCTACATATTCATTTTTTTGGGTTAAAATAATTATATTCATCATAATATGTAGGTTGTTTCCATATGTCAGGAAATTGAGAAATACAATGTTAATTAATTCCTTCAATGATTTAAATTTATCTTCAAAATTGATGGTAATATTTTCAGGAAGTGTAATCATTTGGCATAAATGTGTTCTCTCTCTTCCATTCCCAATTTTCAGTAAATATTCACAAAATGAAGGATCTAATTTAGCTCTCATATTTTCGATTAATGCTAGTTGTGTAAAAGAAGACCATAAATGCGAAAAAACTAAACTTGCTTTCATTATATCATCTTTTGTTCCTCTTTGTACTATTGGTAAAACTTGTCAAAAATCTCATCCACACACTGACTTTTCCCACCAAATGGTAATTGACATTCAGTAATGTCTCTTAACATTTTATCTAAAGCCTCAAAAGCATATTTATGAACCATTGGTGCTTCATCCTAGATTATTAGTTTAGCCAATGTTAAAAGTTTACCAAGCGCAGACTATTTACTCACCGAACAGTGCATATCACAACTTACTTCAAGCGAAATTTTGAATCTTGAATGTCTTGTTCTACCAGCTGGTAATAGAGATGCAGCTACACTTGATGATATCGTTGTTAGTGTGATAAGATTTCGAGACCATAGACAAAAAAGTAATGCCTTGTATAAATATGTTTTTCCAGTGTCTCCTGGACCATCAATAAAAAACATTCCATTCTTATCATTTAAAACACAATCCAAAATAATATCATAGGCATTTTGTTGCTCTTTATTTAAACTCTCACTATAATGTATGTCTGATTAAAAATTAATATTAGTTATTTTTTCGACAATCATGGTTTCAAAAATATCACCATCATTTATAGTTAAATCAAAATCTACCAAGCAAAAATCAATTATATTCTTATCAACACCTTCTAAGAAAGAATTTATATATTGTAAAGCTTTCATCTCTACACTTTGTTGTGTGAAACCTTTATGTAAATAATCTTCTATCATGAAATTTTTAAATTTATCCCATAAATTCCTTGGATTTGTAGAACAAGATAAACTCAATACATTGGCAAATAGTTGTTGCAATGATATGAGCATTTGGTAAGCAACTGCCTCAGATAAACACATCTCAGAATAGTTATTTCCACTAAGAAGACCATGGGAAAGTGCTGCTTCAAAATAAGTAGATAAAACAATACCATTAACTGTTTTTAAATATTCAAAAGATTTTGACCCTTTAATATGATTTAGTAAAACTCTTAAAAAATACCTCTCACCTTCACATGGATTAGCACTGACTATTCTACCAATAACATTTTTGCTTTTTCTGGGAGTCCAAATTCGCATGGATGTATCCCATACGAAATAGGTTGGAAAATCTTTATACAGTAGAGTTTTTGCCTTTTCATTTGAAATATTCATTCTAAAAAATTCTTTTAACATTGTTCGGTAAACAAAATCCTTATTTATAACCTTTGATAAATCATATGTCTCCTTGTATGTAACCGTTTGAGCATCTTTAGTATGTAACTGTAAAGAGATTATTGTAGGAGATATATCAAATAAATCAAAACTAAATATCCTCCACATAGTTTCAGGTGGAGATATCCATCTAATTGTTTGGTAGTTTGAAATCTCATCAATGAATTCTTCGTTTGTTTCTTTATTTAAAGTAAAATGAATGTGGTCATGTCCCTTATATACGTACTTGTATAGATATTTAACAGTTTTAACAGAAGAACACACCTCCACATTAATGTGAAAATCATATTTAGCTAAAATGTAAGGATTATACGGTACAACTCGTCTATTATCTTACATACACCCTTTTATTTTAACACTTACACCATCATTGTGACACTTGAAAAGTGGGTAGGAATCATTACCCAAAGAAATATTTTCAACGTAATCTCTCGGATATTTATTTTTACACACAAAATTCTTTTCCAGACAAACATTCTTAGGATTCAAATTCTCACAAGTACCATGCATCATATGTTTTATAAAAGTAGCATGTAGTTAAGGGTATTCTTTTTGTCTGGTATTTCTGATGAGATAATTTCATCGACTTGTACAGAGTTTCCGATATCAGAATTTCGTTTAAATATAAGGAGAAAATGAGCCTAAGGTAATCATCTTTTCTGAAATTTAATCACATAAACATATGCAGCAATAGGACCCAACAACGTTCTCTTAACCAAATCTATCTTCAATTCCTCAAACTTGGCACGAAATATTCGTACTAATAAATCTGCTCTATTCTGTATTTCATCACTGTGTTTCAATTCACATTTTATTTCAGGTCAACTTGGATTACATGTCATCGTGAAAAACACATCTGGTTTACCATATCTCTAAACTAAAAATATTGCATCCATATATCTTTTAGTCATGTTCCTAGGACCCCCAACAAAACCAGAAGGCAACACTAATGATTTACCAATTTTATAACCTCTATTCTCACCATTTTGTATGCTATCTACAATTCTCTGATATAGTTCAGCTCTTATAAACTTTTGGTTATTACGAAAGTAGTTTAATCTTGTTGTTTCAATTTTCACATACATATCCACAACATATTACTGTAAAAGTCTGCCAGCATGTAAAAGAATACAATTATTTACACACCTGATTTGAAGCTTGTAACAAGAATATTCTTGACATGATACAGTTATTCGTTTTTTCCTTGCCTTCAAAACTGGAAGAAGGAAAAAAATATATCAACAAAAATTTCATTCACTAAATTCAATTAATAACATAAATAAAATTGTTTAAAAAATAGAAATTACTAAAATCGTTTACCATAGTCTTCTACTTCCAATAATTGATCCGTAGAATGAACATGATTAACTTTTATTAAATTCTGACAAACCCGAGCTTGTGAAACACTTACATTCACATTTTCAATACCTTCATGCCATCCAAGTTCTCCATACGAGAAAAGTAGTGGATATTGGAGAGGATCATAACAACCATAATAGTATTGAACTTTATATGCATTACCTGAATGCCCATAAATTAATAAATCCTGACCTCTTGTATTTGTAGATGGGTCATCGTCAACCCAAACTACAGCCACTTTTTCTGATGTTGGCAATTTATATACTCTTTGATTAACAGCAGGATTATACTTTAGTAAAATACAACATGATTCTAAATCAATAACTTCACTTAATCATCGGAAAAACTTTGAATAGGGATTTTTGTTTAGAACATTTATCAACTTTCTTAAAGTAAACTCACAAAACTTGTCAGAAGTATTCAGTCTATTACAAATTTCATTTCCAGTATCATAAAAGTATAACTGTAAATACGTTGGATTCTCATTCTTTTGCACAAGCGAGTTTATGAAATGGTATACTTGTCCTTGAACTCTAAAAGTATATATGCCTTTATTATTCTTACACAATTCTGTCTTACTTAACACTAAATGAAGTAAACGCAAAATGATTGTTGTAACTACGAATAAAATTTTTAAAAGCTACAGCCTCTTTAGATGTGGAAGTAAATAATTCATACATTTCAGAAATTATATCATATAACTGTAATTTGACATTTCCATCACAACAACAAAAGTCTTTGCTTTCTCTATAGAATTTTGTAGTACCACAATAACAACAAATTTTAGAAGATGGCAAAACATAAGGTTGATCAGGAATACTTCATTTACAAATTTTTTCTGCATATTCAACACTCATGCTCACGTCGCCCGATTCTCCTCCTAATTCAAAACGTTGATTAGCATCACCTACAAGAAAAATATCAAAAAAAAGGAAATTGTAAAAAAAAAAAGCATTCCATATAAATAAACTAAACATAAACATAGTTATATATAAAAAATGCCCAAACAAGAGTTATTAAAAAAAAAAAAAACTTCAAAGAGTTCGCAGAGATAATTGATCTTTGTGAATTGTGTGCGGAGTGCAGAGGAGTTTTCGGACCAATAAACAAATACAACAAATACAAGCACAACAAGATAATAAACTAAAAACTATACAAAGGCAAACACTAAAAACTTTTTTTAAAAAGATGTAGAAGTAAATAAATCATACTAAAAACCTTTCCATCATAATGACAAAATCCTCTTCTTTTTTTCTAGATTTTTGTAGCAGGGGAATTAGAAGATGACAAAACATAAGTATTTCCTTTACCAATTTTTTCTGCATATTCAACACTCACACTCATTCCCCTTATTCAAAATATTGATTAGCATCATAAAAGGAAGAAAATAAAAAAAAAAGGAAATTATAACGAAAAAAAGCATTTCATATATAAAGAAAACTATATTATATAAAAAAAGACCGCTAAAAAAAATTTCTTCGAATAGTTCGAAGACATGAATTCATCTCTCCTAAGTGTGCGGAGAGTGTGGAGTGCACTCTCCGCACAGAGCGGAGTCTTCAAAAAAAATTTCTCTGACAATAACAAATTAAAATGGCAAACTAAAAACTAAATATATCTCTGTGAATTGTGCGCGGAGTACGGAGGAACAAAAAACTATACAAAGGCAAACACTAACAACTTTTTTAAAAAGATGTAGAAATAAATAAATCATACTAAAAACATTTTCATCACAACAACAAAATCCTCTGCTTTTTTTCTAAATTTTTGTAGTAGAAGAATTAGAAGATGGCAATATAGAAGTATTTCATTTACCAATTTTTTCTGCACTCACACTCATTCTCCTTATTCCCTTATTGAAAATGTTAATTAGCATCATGGAAGGAAAAAAATTTGAAAAAAAAGGAAATTATAACAAAAAAACATTTCATATATAAAGAAAACTATATTATATAAAAAAAAACCGCTAAAAAAAAATCTTCGAACAGTTCACAGAGATGAAATTCATCTCTCCAAAGTGTGCGAAGAGATCACTCTTCCCTTCGCACTCTCCGCACACTTTTCGCACAGTGCGGGGCCTTCAAAATTTTTTTCTTTTACAATAACAGATTAAAACAGCAAACTAAAAACTAAACATAATTATTATATAAAAAAACAACTACAAAATTAGCTTGTTCAAATTGGTAAAAAAAAATTAGTAAGCTGATTTCTCGTAGAGAGTTCTGAACTCATGCACCATCTGGCACCTCAATTTTTTATTTTTGACAAAATCTGATCAAAACAAATACAAGCATCCAAAAAAGCATAAACACTACTAAATACAACATGTTAAACTGAAGGTCCTTAAATGTCGATTTGCAGAACGAGGTTGCACTTCTTGCATCAGATTTTTCAGTTGAGGATTCTCAATGCACGTCTGGTTTCTCTTTCACAAGCTCGCCTATTCTTAAACCAATCACTAACAATTTTTTTTCAGAAATAACAGGATTGTATAACGATAAGGTGAAGACTATATGTAGAATTTCTGCATTATTTGGACTTTTATTTTCTCCATCAAATATGGATCGAAGAAAATCAACCTCTGTAGATGTAGATATCCAACGTTATTGTTGTCTTCCCATGCTGACAGCAAGCTTGACAGCCAAGAAAAAAAAAAGAGAATCAAAGGTGAAGTGAGAATATCTAGTGTGGTCCAACAAAATCAAAATTCAAAAAAAAAAAAAAAATTAGAAATGAAAATATCAATAAAAAGGAAAATAAGGAGTATGATTGTAGAATACGGTTAGCATGGTTGTCGACATGGTCGAAGCAATTTTTTTTTTTATTTATAATAAAAAAAAGGAGGGAAAATAGCGTGAACGGTAAAATGAGATTGCTTTACTGTTGTATCCATAGTTGCATCCCATTCACGTTTTTATTAGAAGTTTGAAAGAGCACAAAAAATTTGAGCATTAAATCATAGCATGATTACAAAATACTATTGACATTGCAAGTATGAAAAACGGACTCACTATCATCATACTTTCCAGTAAGTTACAACTATAAAAAGTTGGTAGCGAAGCTACAAAATATGAGCCAAGAATTATAGCTATACAAAAACTCGACCCTAGCAAAATATTAAGAAGGCATTTGCTCCATTTCAAGACTGCACAAATTCTCCTTCTTACTATCTGTTAAGCTACATTTCTTTTGTTTGCTGTACTCCAGGGGATCTGCATGCGTAAGAAAGGAATTATCTTCTTACATTCCAAAGATAAACGGCAGACTTGAGATAATTTCCCCTGCTAAACTATTGCCCTCCGGTTATTCCAGACTCGACACTTCCACATACCCTACGTTTGACAAAAACTGTATTAGTATAGAGGGTTCGAATGCAAAGACGTATATTTATATGAAAGTGATAGATAGCTGTATATCAGTACAAGAGGCTCGTTGTCTGAATAATCTGCATCCAAATCAGCAGATGCAGTCTTCTTGCTCGGTTGATCTAAAGCATTTGGATGATTATCTACGTCATCTGCTTCTTCAGCGTCCTGCCTGGATTCTTTCCGGGTCCCACCTGATCGCTTCTCGTCTGTAGAATAAACTCTGTTATTATCAGACCTGAGAGCAACACGATGGGGTCTGTCGACATCCTCACTCTGAGTATCTTCAGAATCGCATTCCTCTATTTGTTTCTCATCCTTGCCCGTTTGATCCTCATCAGCTGCACCATATGCAAACCTGTATTTCTGTTCCTCTGAATTGTCAAGTAACACAGAAGAGTCAATCGAGAATCTCAAATATAGTGATTTGGCAACATAGAAAAATGAATACTTGACAATAGGACAAAATACCGTTGACAAGAAAAGAAATTTGATTCTATAACCAACAACTTTAGACAGTAAGATCCTCACCTGAGTCTAAATCATCAACATTGGACTTTGGGACGGATTCAGAGTGTTTAACACCAGGGCTTCCCTCACTTTTGGTGGAGAAACTACTCTTTAATACACCATGCTGTCTCTGCTTCAGAGTTTTCCCTGAGGTTTTTGTTCCTTTCCCTCGAAGTGATGGAGATCTGTCAGTCAATTCAAGTACATAAGATACTGAAACACGGATATATTCCTAGTCAACTATTTGCAACTAATTTTCTTGGATGATCTGTACATGCACGACAAACGCACGATATATGCACGACAATTGCATGAAAAACGCACTATACATGCACGATACATGCACGACAAATGCACAACAAACACACGCATGACATACGCACAAGTATACACACAAACTCAGAGAAAGAGATGGCCAATTGAATGAGAAACTATAGTATCCTATCCAACATAACCATACATAACTGTAAATTGGGAATGGTACAAGAAGGTAGAACTTACACTCCTTTAGGACGGGAACCCTTCGTGGAATTTGACTGCTGCACCATGTAGAAATCATGTTAGACCTGAAGTCATCATCATTGCTCAAAGGTAAACCAGAACCAAACACGTATACTCAGGGGCAGAGCCAAGAACTTATTATAGCGTGGGCATAAAGTATAAAAGTTCTGAAATACTGTAGTAACAAAGAATATTAAAATGTCTCAATTGTTCTTTCAATGAATTAATCTTTACATGTTTTCATACTTCAAAATGCTACACAAGGGACTCATTATTAATCATCAAGGATCCATTTGTAAGCATGCTTCTCCAATTTGACATGGGAGATTAACATTGTAATCATAATCAAAATTCTTAGGCTATGATTTGTAAGAAGTTGTGCAACATCAATCCTGCACTACAATCATCAATTTATTCTGTAGGTAATAATATTTTTCTTCCGTAATTGTTTACATATTAAAACAGCCATGGTATGAAAAGATGCAATAAAAATTCTGGAAATGTTTAATCCACACACTTCAAACAAACAAGTATCAAACTTGAAAGCAAACCAGCAAGACAAAAAAGATACAAGGTATGAGAAAGAAATAAACCGAATTTTAGAGTTTTGAGAGGATTTTAGATGTATTTTTTACTCTAAGTCCAGCGGGTGCAGTGGCTGCCACCAAAAATCCGCCAGTACTTCTTATTAAAAAATATGGTGGACATAAATATTTAAACCTTCAAAGCTTTTTGGCCATTGTCAAGAAGTTCCCAGAGCTCCTTCTCTAATTGAAGAACTTCCACATCTCCATCATCGTATGATATCTTTGAAACAAATTAATAAGAAAAACACAGTGAGAGATAAAAGGTTAACCATAATAAAGTTGGTCTCTGTTAACTATAATGAATGAGGAAGCAAAAATGCAGCTTACCACATGCTTCTTTTTTCGGGAGTCAAAAGATTTGACAACACCTTCATAGAACCTGTACAGTTAGACAGTTACAACATATACTCTGTATCTTGCAGCAGCATACTTGTTACACAGTCAAGAAGCAACAATAGAAAACATGTTGCAATGTTATTAATGATTACCAGCACTCTTGTGTTGTCACCTATGGAAACAGGTATTCTATTTCTGGTGTAAAACAGGAACTAAGAAAACATAGCAAATAGGTTGACTCGCTCATAAAGAATGATAAATATTTAGTGTGTGATTATATAACATGGAGGTCAATAACCATGAACTGAAGGAAGTGTCTTATTTGAAGCTCAGTGAAGCATGGCTACCAAAGCTGCAAGAAAGATCTCTATATCTTATTGGCCATTAAGATGAAAATGGTACATACAAGGTAAGAAGATGAAGTTTTCCCCCCTTTTAACATGAGATTGATGCAAACTTGACATTGGAACCATTCAGGGATCCAAAATGTTAAAGAAATTCCTCAAGGGGTAAGTAATTTTGGGGAGAGATTCAAAATTATATTGCCAGAAAATGTTGTCTGAAGCCTAACATCCTATACTTAAAATCGCCCTTTTCACAAAAATGACACAAAGATCATTGTTTTTCAACTAAATCAAGAAACATTCACATCTTATCCGTTGGCCACCAAACTTTGATTCTGCATCCAATCAAGTCCTCTGTGAAACGTCCATTGTCCCTTGATGTGCACTAAAAGAGAAATAACTACCATCAGAATTGAGTGATATTATCAAAACAGAAGTTGCAACAAATTTAGCATTCTAAACCGTAGAAGAAACCAATTAAAATTAACCTACAGCCATTCTGGTTTTTAGTTGGATCTAAAAGGTTATGACAGTAAATTACTGGTTCTCATTATATACTTCATTCTTCAGACCATGGTTTGCCAATTTGATGCATGTTAGATTCGTATGCTTAGACTCTTTTAATTTGCCACATGACGATTAAAGTACTTATGAGTACAAAGCAAGTTCCATTTAAAAGCACAGAACATTATACAAGAAAATGCAGAAAAGATAGGCTGTGTTAACCTTTTCCATCCCAAAAACACTTCTCCGTTCTTGTCTCTTTGTCAATTTGGTGGAATTACTCATCAGACTTGTGCTCTCGGTCTCCACGACTTTCTTAGGCTTCTGGCAAATTGAAGGACATATGAAAACCCACACAATCATTAATGAAACATAATATGCAATTGGGAATTTCATCGGCATTAAAACTTACCTTAGTGTCATGGGCCTTGCCGTGATCTCTATGAGCACGTTTGCCTTTCTGCTTTGAGGTTGAGGAGTTAGATTTCATTTTAGGATAAGAAATTAAGTCTGACTCTGCAGGTATCATGATATCCTCCACATATTTATCTTCTGAACTAGCCTGAAATTCCTCATCTATTTTGGGAGAGCCAATAGAGATTCGCCATTCATTAAAATCAGTCGGATTTATATAACCCTCTGAAGTAATCTCTGAGGGAGATTTGTAACCTTGAGCAGATGATGATCTCCTCTGTGTTGGTACAGAAACATCCTTTGATTCACTACAGATCGTTTTCTCCATCTGACACTTATGACCATGTCTACTTTTTTTATAAACATGTTCATGACTCTTATTAGACTCAAACTGTCCAGTTGTGCCTAAATTATCCATACTTATTTCCTTCACAGTTTTCAAGATATCAATATCATTTTTACTTCCCACTCCAGCAGATGCAAACTCATCAGTCACCTCTCTTTTCCACTTTACTCCCTTTGCTTTCACACGTTTCACAAATTTTCCTAATTGCATCTCGCTGCCATCTGTTTCACTGTCCTTCATGATCTGATCCTCAACAATTTCTATATTAACCTGAAGTTGGCAAGGTGCCATTGGATTAAAATTGTCAAGCAATGTAAGTAACAATGCTAACCTATAATGCACCAACACAGAAAGTGTGTCCGTCAAAATACATGTTGGACACACCACCATGTGCTTTTTCAAAAACCTACTAATATGACACGTCATCGACACGTTGATTATATTATTTAAAATTCTCCATTTATATAGTATAAATTTAGTTTTATACTTGTTGTAAATTTTTCTTGTTAAATTCTTTTAGATATAAGTACCTATTTGTTATTTAATAAAAATTTTAAATTAAAGATATACAATAATTCTGATAAAAAAGAAAATGACTATGATAGAGTGTTTGTATCCGGTGGACACATGTTGGACATGGACAAGTTGTCAGTATCCGTGCAATAGAGGTGCCAACATTATTTATCCATTAGGTTGCAATATTTTTCAAACTTAAAGTTCCATTGTACTTAAATTGTCAAGCAGTGTAAGTAACAGTGCTAAAATTATTTATCCATTAGGTGGCAGTATTTTTCGAACTTACAGTTCCATTAGCTTCAAAATTTAGTGATTCAAAGTGGGCCAAGAAGCTCTTATCAGCCAGCCATGTCTTCTCTTCACCAGCCTAGTACAAATATAAGAAGTATGTCTGTCATGCATATAAACCATAAACAGAGTCATAGAGATCATAATCAGGAGATTTTATAATGTCAGATTGAACTATATGATCAACTGTTGAACAGGATCACTTCTAGTACTCGAAGAAAATATTTCACTGGACCGACTCTATCTACCCAGCACCTATCTATATACCTCCAATGTGTGCATGTGCAGGGATTTGGAGGTTTGTGGGTGGGTGGGGAAGAATCGATCTTCTCGATTTAGGAGTTCAGTTTTCAACTTTCGGTAAAGCTAGAAAGTAACTGAAAGAGGCCCAACTAGAGGTTATGTAATAGAGGTGATGGTGAAGCCAAAAAGTTCCTACTAAACATTACTACAGCATCAAAAAATAATAAAAAACATCCATATCATATGAACATGATTTGCATCTACTCAACAGATATCAGAATCTATCCAAAGCCAAGTAGAAGTAGCAAATTACGTTCCGCTTTCGAGGCATTCAATTAATGAATGCAGATCAAAGAAGTTTCATTTTCAGATAAAGGGAGATTGAGCGTACCAGCAGGTCCTCTCCTTCTTTCTTCTCAAGTGGTCTGTATAGAGTTGGAGGTAACACCACTGATGCACCTAGGTCTTGAAGATTTTTTGGAGCTAATCGCATAACGATTGACAGCCCAAGGTCACAGAGAGCGTAGGAGTTCTGTAATATTTAACATTCAGATCAAATGACGTAAAAACTACACTAATCTCATTAGTTCTCTAGCAGGTATTATTTCCTCTCTTTTTTTTCCTGGAGGTACAACTTCCTCTGTCCTTTTTCCTTTCTTGGCCTCTCGTCTGTGTTTATATTGTACATGTGAAAATATTCTTTCTATTTAAAATGAAGGGATTTCTAATGCTACAAGGTGAAATAAACATGGCAGTATCTAATACCCAACCTTGGACTTGGTTGCATCAAAAGCATCTTCTGAGCGCTTGATACACAGAAAGATAGAATATAACAACGAAATACTTTCTTTCTCCTTGCTAATACTGTCATCAGATTTTCCGTCTTCATCTCCAGTTACCAGCATGGACAGGAGTAAATACAATTGCCTAAAATGGATACATGTCCAAAAGACTTTAATAGCTATGGCAAAGGCATGGATGATGAAGATAAAATTCACCGAGAACCAATTATCATCGCAAATATTTCAAAAATATTTACATCAATTTTATTTATAGGGAGATGCATTATTACAGCTTCAGCTTTATCGTTCCATGCATGTGCTACACAAAAGTTTGATAATTGATTTTACCAACAATATTCACCTCTTTGTAGAAAGCAGTTTAAGAAATTTATATGAAATTCCAATGCCACACATCTTATACTCACATGTTTATTGACAAAAATTGTATTCCTGTTGTGTGTTTAACAATTTACAGAGGACAATCGCTTTCAGAATATAACCCCGTTTGTTAGCAATTTTTTACCTCCAAAAAATAACCGTTATTTCATTATTCCATCCGTCATTTTTGACTTCCTCACTCACGAGTGGGACCTGCTTTTCTCACTAACGGTCAAAAAATCAATTCTCATAATCACTATCGAACAGGTTCAATACATACACACTCAAAGACTATCTCTCATAATTTCTTAGACAAGTTTTCACAGTGTAGATGCCATGAGATGCCTTTTTTTCCCAACATCATAACAGCCCAAAAGAGAGTATTTTTGGCAGTGGAACTGTCACATTCAAAATAATCATTATGAATATTAAATCCAGTCATCACAAGAAGAACTCAAATTAGTGAATCCAAAATTAGCCATTATAAACTGCTTTTAATCTCCATTAGTTCCATGTGAATCTTGAAACATCATTATAAATGATAATTGTCAACATAAAATACCTGTAAATAGTTTCAAATGCTTTGACATCTTTGCATTCATCAACATTAGGACAAGAAGAATGATGAGCAAAACCATGAACCACATATGGGAGAATGTACTCAGGATAAAATGGTGCAGAATTTGCATCACATTGTGTAGAAACTTCGTGTGCCCTTTCTTGCTTCCACATATGTATGATATCATTCAACTTGCATTTGTTCTGCCAAATATATTAGGAGATAAGAAATTTATGTAGGTCTCATCTAATAAATTTGTGTGATGTTTCAAAGCTACGTAAACTGTGAATGTGCTTCCAAGTGCAAGAGACGGGTCAGTTAAGTATATTACACCTCTTCAAAATCAAGCTGCTGATATCCATAATCAAGTACGAAGGTACAAGCATACTTCGGGTCTAAAATCTGGTCCTTTACATATTGATGAACCTTATTGAGTAGTAGCCTTTTTACCTCAGGGAAATTAGTCTGCACAGATTCAAGGTGACTGTAAGAAATTGTTTTTGTGTAGCAGCCGTGAGAACTATCATCGCATGAACAGTGGAATACTGTCAGGTAAATAAAACTCTACCTCAGAAGTTCTCAAGGTCATATAAAAGACATCAACAGGAATTTTATGCTCCCAGTGCCTTGATAGACGAAGAACAGCTTTTGCTGCAGCAAGCTTCAAATGAGCCTTATCAACCGAACTGAAACGTGCCAAAGGAAATCCATGTTAGTGGCCAAGATAATTAAGCAATACTCCAAAATTTACATATGTCAACTCTAAAAGTTCAAAACACCATAAAACTGGTTACCTTGATGCAATGTGTCTTGAGATTTCTCCAAAAGTGAGTATGTTTTTTAGAATTTCCACAAGGTCATCAATACCAGAACGAAGATGAGCATCTTTGACAGGTAAATAACTCTTGATCAATGTTTTAAGACCAAAAATCTGCAAATCATTCAGATTAGCATTTACTGCATAAATTTCTGCTAAGAGGGTGCTCTAGTTATAGATGGTGGTGGGGGGACAAAAAATACTCTGGCAGATGCACCTTTAGTGAACAAATCTCACTTCTGGCTTTCCAACATTCATTCACTTCATCTCCCGATATCTGCAGGTGAGAGCATGTTTTACATGAAATTCCGTAAACAAGAGAAAACAAATAACAGATCAAAATAACTTTTCAAACAGCGTACATGGATGCTCTCCAGTATGTTTTTCTTTATGAACTCTTCAACATTACTTTCTCTTGTTTTAAACACTGGCATAGCAATCCGTGCTATACATCCAAGAGATTGTAATACAGCTGGCAAATGTGACTTTTTCTCAAGCATATCAACAAGCCTCTGTCCATATGAGAAACAAATAGATTATGGCTATCATCGACATCTCTTGAAAAAGAAAAAGAAAAATAAACTCCAGAGGAAATTGAAAAGCCCATGCAGATGAAAACTGGCTATGTATGATTAGGTAATTAGAAACCTTGTAGAGAACAGATAGTGACGTGAAATCATCATCTTTTCTTACTGATGCAAGGGCATGAACTGCATACTTTGCCTGCCTTCGGCTACCCTCAATGCATATTTGCTTCAGCATAAGGTCTAATGATCTAAAAGGAAATATAGCATTTCAAAACAGAAATCAAATACATGCATAAATGTGAGTACGTAAATTACAGATCAATTAATCATAAGTTTATACCTCAATGAAACTCCCAGCTGTTCTCTGATGTTTCCCCCGGCCATTGAAAGAATATGCAAAACACCTTCCTTAAATATTTCATTGTCGTCCTCAAGAAGATGTATCAAATCTTCTTCAATCCCGCCAAGCAGCAAAGGACTGAAACGTACAAGAATCTGAAATTCATCATAGAATATGAATAAAGATTCTAACATTACCAGGAAACAACAAGAGTAGTAAGATTATGAGACTAATCTAAAGAAACTTCCATATAGCACGAAGATTAATCCAGAAAATTAAAATTCACAATTTTTCCATTGTTATTCTGTATATTGATAACCGAGTGGATCAATCATAATTTTCAAGCTCAGATTCCTAGCAACTATTGCACACTGTAGCATCATTAAATATTTTGTCACAAATAATCGTCGCTAGGTGTTATATTCGGGAAAAAGACATCAACAGGAAAACACATATATCGTCACTGAGAGATTGGTAAAGTCGATTGAAAATATAAATTTGTTTCATGTATAGTGAAATGTCAACTTAAAAAGAAATGAAAAAGACACCAAACTGTGTCAATACTATATATTTCACCATTCAAGATCAGTGTGGATGAGAGAGAGAGAGAGTAATGTCATACCACAAGTATGCTCATGCTAGATAAAATTAACTCGGTACTTCCAGAAGATTTCAGTACACCAGCCTCCAGAATAAGTTCTTTGATATGCTCCTTATTGAAAAGTAAATACGAGCATTTTAATGAAAGAGAACTCAGAAACTCGTAGATTTGATGCTTCTGACCAAGGGCCCTCAGTAAATCATTCTGCAGGAGAATCAAGATTGTCTGATAAAACATGGAACATATTTTTGCTATCATTTTAAACTTAAGGGCTTCCCAAAAAGCTGGGAAGCATAGAAGAGAAGGCTCCCAGCTCAGATTCTGTTTAGTGTCTCACCCGTGAACTACCAGCTTGAAGAGAGCTAGTATTTGGATCAAGAAGGCTGGTCATAATTTTCCAAACATTAGAATCTTCTAACTGATCAAGAATCTGAAACTTTTCCTCCGCAATTGCAGGATCAGAGAAAAAGTGAGACATACTATGGAAGCAAACATTAACTTTCTTTCGGATCTCGGTGACATCACCTTCCTGCATTAGGACAAGAAATAAGATTTAAATTAAATCCGGCTTCTTAAATTTTCCTCCAGTTTCAGATT